TAGGGAGACATCACTATTCAGTAATCACCAGGACCCTGCTGTACTACAACCCCCAGCACTGCCTGCAAACACCTGGATGACAACTACTTCTTGCAGCTGCCAACAGAGCCAACCTAAGGCACGCTGGACTTTGTAGTACCCCAGCCAAGACCATACACACACGTGCTAACACAACTCCACTGTCGCCCATGGCAACCAAGTAAGCAAGCTCACGGATCACGCGACATGGAGAAAGGTCACTATCTCCAATGCCCCTGCAACCGAACCTAGTTGCAAGCTATTACGTGATACTGAAGGGAAGACGGTTGCCATGGGCAACGGCCACCTCACACACAGATAACTGAGTCCTAAAGCCCCCCATAATCATGTCACTACAAGACACCCCTAAGGCGGATGACACCCCCTCTATCTTCTCACCATGTAGGTCTATTTGGTCCGCAGACACCACCCGCCAACAACTGACAGAAGCGCTAGTGTCTGTCTGGCTCGCAGACCAGCTGACTGTCTCTTATATGAAGCCGCCGTCACACCCCTCTTTTCACGTGACCCGCCCACAGAGCTTCCAGAAACGTCTGGAATCTTCACAGCCTGCTCGTAGGCGCAACATGGCGGGAGGAGCCGCGCTTCAGAGCCCAGCCAATGAGGGTGGATGACTGCTGGCGGGCGCCAGGGTGCCACGCCCACTATTGCAACGTTCTGCCCGCCTCGAATTCGGGGGCGTGGTTTGCGGGTGACGAAGCAGAAACTCTGGAAAACACCAGAATGAGACGCGGCCATGTGCTTGCTTGTTGCCCGGGGCAACCGGGGAAGCCGCTAGGCCGCTGATGGTTTAAAAGTGACAGTTGGGAAAAAACCGAATGGAATATCACAGAAGTGAAGTAAAGCCTTCCTAATAAATCATCATAAACGGGAGTGTGTGTGACAACGTATAGCAAAGCCCACAGGCCAAAGGTGCAATCAGCACAGGGGGGTCACTGGTATATAAAAGCATTGCTGAAAGAAAGGCGCAGGGCTGTAGTTACCATGGGGCGAGTGAGGCACTCGCCTCAGGCGCAGCTGAGAGGGGGCGCAGCCAGGGCCGGCCTGCCTGCGCCCCTGTTGCCATAGCGAGCACAGGGCGCCATTGCCAACAGGGGTGCCAGCCGGCCAACACAGCCGTGTCTCGGCAGGGAGAAGAGGAGAGGAACATGCTCCAGCTTCTCCTTAGATCCCTGCTGCTCTCCCCCACCTGCATGGGGCAGAGGACTCTGTGTCCTCAATCTCTTTTTCTATTTTAAAAGGGAAATGTCGGGGGTCTGTTTAGACCCCCGATATTTCCCGGAAGCCCCCCAACAGTGAAAAAATAAAAATCAAACACACACATTACTGGACATGTGCGAAGACTAAAAATTTGTTTCAGACAAAATGAACGGAAACTAAAAATGTTTTCATTCATTTC